GGGGGGGGGGGGTGACACATATTGGCTAAGAGCTCCGCATCCCCTCTGGTGCTGAACGAGTTAAAGGAGAGCAGGTTTTCTCCTTGCGCAAATGAAAAGCATTCGGTAGCAGCCTTGCACACAGCAGCAAGGGTCTGCTCATCACCTCAGGGGGGGCACGCCGCAGCCGCCGCACCAGTTTCTCAGCGCTCGACCCTGATAACTTCTATCCATTTCTATAGAGGGGGAGCATCCTCGGGTTCTGGAAGAGGCTTGCGGAGAGAGACCACCGGCTGGACCACCAGGTGGGATGGAGTAAGGATACCGGCGACTGGGCTGCAGGTTTTGACGGGCAAGCCAATGGCACAGAAGAGGGAACGCTGGATACGTTAGACTCTGGTAGACCCCTCTGCAAAGTCAACAAGGGTGAGTGCGCCTTGGTGGCATCCTCCGAACGTACCCATGGCACAGCCTCCGCTGGGGATGCAGGTACAGCTGGGTAGAATGTCATCACTTTCCATGCATCCCACCTAAGTGTACCCGTCATGGGAGAATTATGCGGGTGGCCATTACATCCCCTTCTGAAGATGCTGGTTCTCACGCTCACCCAATGGCTCCAATGGTTTTTCAGTCACAGAGATAACAAATCCCGACTTTAGTTTGCTGCATGGTTCCTTGAGGGGGGTCTGTGGTTTAGGGATTGGAGCCACAGACCCAGGGACACAGCCAGGGAATCGGCATTTTCCAGAGGAGGCCAGTGATGGCTGTCTAGGTGTACTTGAAGAGTGAAGGCTACGGGTCTATCACAACCCTGGCTTAATGAGTCACCAACCTGGGATAGGTATGGGCAGGATGGGAGTCTTTCTCGGTTTTCACCGGCTGCATGCTTGTTCCAGGTAGACCTTTAAGAGTTGCTGACCCCCCCACAACTCTCTTTTTATCTTGTCACTGGTTTCCCCTATGGTCCACTCCATCATTAGGGGCTCAGCCCACCCCCAAAAATGATATTCCAGTGCTTGGTTGAAGGTCTATGTTGTCACTGGTTTCCCCTATGGTCCACTCATCATTAGGGGCTCAGCCCACCCCAAAAATGATATCCCAGTGCTTGGTTGATGGTTTATGTTGTCACTGGCTTCCCCTATGGTCCACTCCATCATTAGGGGCTCAGGGCACCCCAAAAATGATATCCCAGTGCTTGGTTGATGGTTTATGTTGTCACTGGTTTCCCCTATGGTCCACTCCATCATTAGGGGCTCAGCCCACCCCCAAAAATGATATTCCAGTGCTTGGTTGATGGTTTATGTTGTCACTGGTTTCCCTTATGGTCCAATCCATCATTAAGGGCTCAGCCCACCCCCAAAAATGATATTCCAGTGCCTGGTTGATGGTTGCAGATTGCAACCCGCCCCCCCTTCATTGGCTTCTCTACGACACTTCACAGATAATATGTCTTCATCAAGTTCCCACCATTATTTTATTATGGACGGAGTCTCCCTCTCCAAGTTTGCTGTATATATATATATTACCCTTGCTGCAGCAGGAGGAGGGAGAATCCAGTAGACGGGATACCTGGGAGCCTATTTCATGTCATCAGAGATATACATATCTGGTAATATAGCTAATCAGTGTCTGTGCATATAGGAAAATAAGGATCATCTTCCTGCGGAGTGACCCTTTAAGAAATAGCTGTGACAGATTGGGGGTGTCAGGAGCTGGGGAGGGGGACAGGGGGGCTGGGCAGGTGCCTATACATATGTGATGCCCCCCAGGCCAAAGCTAGGGGGGCACGTGCCCCAGGTGACAGGGGTCCCACTGATGTGTGGGTGGAGAGCGTCTCCCTTGGGGGGGACTCTGAGCCTTTCCCCCGGGTGACAGATTGTCCTGCTTTCCCGCTGGATGCCCCCCAGCCGTATCCTCTCTCAGCATCGCTCAATGTATCGTCCCCTTTAAGGAGCCATTCCGGTTCATAGCGCTCCGTTACACGGGTGACACAACTGATGCAAAGTATACGAGGAGGAAAGGAAGGTGTCACGGAATCAGCGACACGCCGGGGGAACCATTTTGTTATCGGCAGCCTTTTTGACGCCAGCCTCCTCTAAGCCGGCACCATGCCGGGAGACGCCATCGAGCTATAAAAATCATTCACGGCGCAGGAAAATCTCTCACCTCACCTAGGAGATGATGAGATCCGCGCGCTGAGCATTTCCTGTCTGCAGGATTGTAACGCTTCACTTACTCTCACTGAAGATGAAATGTAATCTGCTCATATATATATATATATATTGCCTTCCTTGGTCCCCCCTCCCCCCTCATCAAGATTCTAATGATATATTTCATTAAAACCTTTCTGTTTTCAGTATATACCTTATTTTAGAACCAGTGACATCATCACCGGGTCTCTGTGCTTCCCTATACAATAGAGGCAGATTATGGGTGGGGGAGGGGCCGGCAGGGAGCTGTACATAGCTTCCTGAGAACATCACAGCACCCTGCCTCGGTACGTCTCTCAACAGCCCTCAAAGCCAGTGCAGGCAGATCATGGCTGATGGGAGGGGCCGACAGGGTGCTGTACGTTGCTTCCTTATGCAAGCAGTGGGCGGGCTCTTGGGAGGAGTTATGCAAATATCAAAATGCCTTGGCGGGTGGGGGTCAGTCTGGAGGAGTGGGCTGCATTTGCATGTAGACCCCCATGCAATGCTGAGCCTCCATGATTGACAGAACTGAATTGAAAGGGGCGGAGCCAGGGACAGTCAGACTGGGGAGGAAAGCCGCAGATGATGCTGGAAGCCCTCCAGCCAGGAAATGAGGCGGAGCTCTATGTGACTTGCTGCGGCTTCTAATGCACATTGTGAGAAGCTCCCAGTGTGCAGTGATATCAGAGGAAGAGGAGCCGGTACAACTGGGCAAGACTGCAGGAGAGGCCGGAGGTCATCTTCAAAGGTGGTGTACGGAGGCATAAGGCACACTGGTCTGCTTGAGCTGACTACCCACTCACATGCAGGACAAGGTGAACAAGGCAAAGAGGTTGGTTGGCGATATATTAGTATCTATTATCTTTTCGTGCAGCTTTGATCAAGATCTGTCTGAAATGGGCTCAGCATGTACCCAGCTCATCATATAGAGGACATGAGTTCTTCTATTCCGCATGATGCCGCTCCACCCATGTAGGATATCGGATACACATAGAGATATATGAGGATGTCCCTGTGGCCAGCTGACACCTCAGAGCTCCGATGATGGAATATGAGGACAGACCTGGGATCTGATGAGAGGCAATTCAGGAGATATAGAGTCAGTTGTGAGTTCCTCAGCTCTGTATTGAGGTTACATTGTATTCATTCCATTGCTGGGGGACAATGGGGGAGGATGGGGATGATGATGATGCGAATTATGACAATGATGAGGATGATTTAGATGAGGATGATGACGACGATGATGAGGAGGATGATTTAGCTGGGGATGAGGGGATGATTTAGTTGAGGATGATGATGAAGATTTAGATGGGGATGAGGAGGATGATTTAGTTGAGGATGATGATGATTTAGATGGGGATGATGAGGAGGATGATTTAGTTGAGGAGGATGATGATGATTTAGATGGGGATGAGGAGGATGATTTAGTTGAGGAGGATGATGATTTAGATGGGGATGAGGAGGAGGAGGATGATTTAGTTGAGCATGATGATGAAGATTTAGATGGGGATGATTTAGTTGAAGATGATGAAGATTTAGATGGGGATGATGAGGATGATGATTTAGTTGAGGATGATGAAGATTTAGATGGGGACGAGGAGGATGATTTAGTTGAGGATGATGATGATTTAGATGGGGATGATGAGGAGAATGATTTAGTTGAGGATGATGATGAAGATTTAGATGGGGATGATGAGGATGATTTAGTTGAGGATGATGATGATTTAGATGAGGATGATGAGGATGATTTAGATGAGGATGATGACGTTTCCCTTTCTTGTATC